CTAATACTAGAAAACAGTGTCAAAATAACACAATAACAACAACTACTTCTAAAAAACAGTGTCAAACATAATACAATAACAACAACTACTATTAGAAAACAGTGTAAAACATAGTACAATAACAACAACTACTACTAGAAAACAGTGTCAAACATAATACAACAACAGCACCTACCACTAGAAAACAGCGTCAAACATAATACAGTAACAGCAACTACTACTAAAAAATTGTCAAACTAAATACAATAACAACAACTACTACTAAAAAACAGTGTCAAACATAATACAACAACAACAACAACTATCACTAGAAAACAGCCTCAAACATAATATAGTTACAGCAACTACTACTGGAAAACAATGTTAAACATAATATAATTGCAACAACTACTATTACAAAACATTGTAAAACATAATACAAAAACAGCAACTACCACTAGAAAACAGTGTGAAACATAATACAATAACAACAACTACTACTAGAAAACAGTGTCAACCATAATACCACAACAACAACAACTATCACTAGTAAAGAGCCTGAAACATAATATAGTAACAGCAACTACTACTAGAAAACAGTGTCAAGCATAATACAATAAAAACTACTATTACTAGAAAAGTGTCAAACATTATACAACAACAGCAACTACCACTAGAAAACAGCGACAAACATAATACAGTAACAGCAACTACTACTATAAAACAGTGTCAAACATAATACAACAACAGCAACTACCACTTAAAAACATCGTCAAACATAATACAATAACAACAACTACTACTGAAAAACAGTGTTGAACATAATACAATAACAGCAACTACTACTGAAAAACAGTGTCAAACATAATACAAAAACAGCAACTACCTCTATAAAACAGTGTGAAACATAATACAATAACAACAAGTACTACTAGAAAACAGTGTCAAACATAATACAACAACAACACCAACTATCACTAGAAATCAGCGTCAAACATAATATAGTAACAGCAACTACTACTAGAAAACAGTGTCAAACATAACACAATAACAACAACTACTACTAAAACACAGTGTCAAACATAATACAATAACAACAGCAACTATCACTAGAAAACAGCGTGAAACATAATATAGTAACAGCAACTACTACTAGAAAACAGTGTCAAACATAATACAATAACAACAGCAACTATCACTAGAAAACAGCGTGAAACATAATATAGTAACAGCAACTAC